GTCCTCAGACATTTTTCTTTCGTTGTTTCTTTCTTTGCGCAGGTAAACACCACATTTCTTCTTCTACGCTTGCATTATCGGCAGAGCAGACGCTGAATGCGCACTTTCATCTGGTTTGGTCTGCCGCGGTTTCCGTAGACTCGTGAACGCACTTTTAGGAAATCCTATACAATACTGTTTATGCTCTTAAAACATTCTAAATGACTTCGTTTCGAGTAAATTCTGGATGCTACCCACTCAGGAAACTTGGAATACATTGGACGAGCAGTATGGAGGAATATATGTACTATTCCTTTAATATTAGGAATGCACAGCGCTGAAGCTGGGAACATCTTCAGGACCAGGTTGCCTCCGTGGGACCTTGTGGTAGACAGAGGAAGACTAGCAGGTGAACCAGAGAAGCTGCTGTCCTGTAGGTCCCTGTGTCCTCCTCATTTAATGAGGAGGACACAGGGACTTCCAATATGCTGTTGGAAACTGTTATCCTCTTCAGGGAATACCACCCAGACAGCAGAGGTAAAGTGAGAGAAGCTCAGGAGCAGCAGAGAGCTGGGCGGAGAGAGGAGAAAAGGTCTCTGATTGGTTGAACTAACCTAGATCGTCAGCAAACAGACATCCTCAGGCTACTGGATTGTTTGACTTGTCTAATGAAAAAGGGTGTGGCCCCAGGTGGGGCCATTTAAGAGGCCTAGAGTAATTAATCAGAACTATTTGACCAACCAATTCTTGGAGATCAACGCTTGTTAGCTTTAGAATTCTTAGACCTGGTTGGTTTGAGCTGTAGCCCTACATAAAGATGACATCACTCGATCCAGGTATGTCCTTCGCATGGCTTCGCTTCTGAATGCATCTCTGCATAGAGATGACCCTCTGGTTCCAGCCGTTTTGTTTGGTGTAAACACAGCATGGACATGCTGGTGACTGGGCAGGTCCAGGATGGGTGTTACCTGTGCTTCTCCATGGTCTCTGTGCCTCTCCAGTCCGGTAAGGTGCTGGCACACAGCATTCCAATGGAGACAACGACAAACAGGACGGAAACCGAGGCGAGCAGCCGAGCCAGCAGTGACGACGTGGGTTCCTCAAACGTCCTCCTCAGGGTCTCCATCCAGCAACTCTGAGCTACCTCCTCCAGGCCTCTCTGCTCCGTCTCGGGGAAGAAGTGGACGAAGCCGTCTGACAGGCGGTCATCCAGACGGCGCTGGCAGCAGGGCTGTAGGTCAGAGCTCTCCAGGCCCCAGTACAGCATCTCATTGTAGAAGGACAGCTCGCACATTTGTGGCACGAAGCGCAGCCTCCCATGTTGGATGTAGAGCATGATGAAATTAAAAGCCTCAGAGTGGCGGTCAAAGAAGAACTCGTTCCTGTCTCGATCGTAGTCGTCACAAAGCTCCAGCAGTTCACGCTCTGACCCACAGCGTTGCAGCCGACTGAGTCTGCTGAGAGGAAGGCGCTTCATCAGCTCTGCTGGGACGGAGAACCTGCGGCCGCCAACGTTCAGGATGCAGAGCTTGCTGCTGAACTTCATCTTCACCAAAAAAAAAAAAATACCTGCAGCAATGGTTTCAGGCAGACTTGGTTCCGCAGCAGACGGACTGCCTCCAGAATCCAGGGGTTCAACTCAGCCAGAGAGATCTTTGCTGAAGAATCCAGAAACTGCTCTGACCGTCACGTCTTATCATGGAAAACTTCCAGCAGAGCAGAGGCAACAGCAGCAGATCTGCGTCTGGGTGATTAGGAGCAGTGACCTGTTTCCACAGAAGCTATGCTGACAGGAAGTGGAGGCAAAGAGACGATGAATGGAGCAGATGTTCCTCAAATACTCTCACACCTTTGCTCTGTTTCCTTGGTGGGTTGAATCTGAGAGTGGAGAGCAGCAGCAGACACTTCTGCTCCTCTTTGTCCTCCTTCTGAGGGAGAAGAGGAAGATCAGGAGAACCTGAGGAAGTAAAGCCAGCCTGGAGTCCATAAAAGTCCTTCTGTGATCCCCTCTTCATCTCTGCCGTTCCTCTTCCTCAGATCTGCTCCACTTATCAACCAATCATCTGCTTCATTTATTAACCAATCATCTGCTTAAGGGATCATCAAAGGCTCACATCAAAAGAGATTTCATAATGTCACTAATAAGAGCAGGACAGAGGAAACAGCGCCCTCTGCTGGCGACTCCTTAGAGCTGCTCCCAACATGATGAACTAATGAAGGCAGAGGGACAGCCTGAAGGAGTCCATGAGGAGAACCCTCGCCCATCCAGCGTAGGGAGAACCTTGACCAACATGACGATGACCCACTCTTTCTGTGAGCAGGCGAGCACAGCCTGTGTGTGTGAGGGAAATCTTATTAGTTTAAAAAAATAACAATAATGACCATAATTTGCTCACATTGTCATTGATTCTTTGTAGGCTTTTTTTGTTCCATTTAGATTTTTAATGTTAGTGTAATGTAACAAATGTTATGGCTCAAAATGTTCATGTTTTACCACGAGTTTTAAGCACCTTAGTGGACCACAAGGGAAAAAAGAAAAAGTTGGGGAAAAAAATGAAAACAATTGTGACTCCGCCATAGTGTCTCTTTATGGTTAATTTTTCCAATCCCGGGTTAAATAGGAGGGTAATTGTTATAAAATAAACATTAATAAAAAAAAATAGGTTAACAGAAGTCTTGGCCAGAAGATCAGAGATTCTGAGAAGTATCAAAAGAAAATCCAGGATGGTGTCAGGAAGCAGATCCAGGTTTGATCAACAGGCAGAAGTCAAGCAAACAGATCAGAACGAGAACCGGCAGGCTCAGAGGAACAGAGGCAGAACGGGTCAGGAAAGGGTAATCAGAAACCTTAACATAATGCTGAAAAACTCTCCCCTCATCCTTGAGAACAAGCTGGCACTGATAACTGGAAAGCAGGCAGGTTAAATAGAAGCAGGAGCAGGTGGATCAGATAAACGGTAATGAGATAACAGGCAGAGTTATACAGCTGAATGAAATGAATAATCCAGCCTGTCATGAGCACCGAATGCATGGCAGTTAAATAATTTGTATCATGTTGAAAAAAAGATTATTTTAAATTATAACTTCCAATGTGCATCACATTATTTTTTGCCAGATCTGTTTGCTACTTTCTTCTTATTTATTACTATTTGTCTGCTTTAAGTATGATTCTATTTAAGGCCTTACCCGCGAACTTTAAGAATGAATGCTTTATAATTATCTTTTAAACTAATTTTCTAAACACATTTCTATTAACTTTTCAGGGCAATTTAAATGTGGAGACTTCAGGATGACAGATGGAGACAGCAGATGAGCTCAAGACATGAAGAAGGCCGGCTGGTTGATCCACTGTTGTCATGTGATCAAACCAGCAGTGAAATGATGATGAAGCATTCAGACATAAAGAAGCAAAACAAATAGAGAAGTTGCTGTTGCTGTTTTCCCACAGAATCTTGCTAACTGACCCTTTATTGGCCTCAGGTGTTGGGAGGGGGCGGAGCCTGAACACAGCCAGAAAACAAGCACTGTCTCACTGTCACAGGAAGTGATGTCAGACCCGTCTGAGGCAGAGGGAGGAAGTAGCTGATCTGTTTTCACCGGAAACACTCAAATGGAGGTGAGAAAGATGCTGCCGCTGCTGCTCGCTGCTGCTGCTCTGGGTGAGTTCTGGTTCTGGTTCTAGTAAACTGACACAGTGCAAAGCTCAGGTAATGGTTCCTGCTTGGTTGGGGGGGGGGTCCAATCTAAGTTGGTTTCTCTCATGGCAGCCAGAAGGGCTGAACTCTGACCTTTGAACCTCCAGAGAAATCCTCTCTCAGTTAATTTCTGTCTAATTAATTCATGTCTTTCTCCAGAACTGGTTCTGATCCAGGTTCTGACCTTTCTTCCAGCTAGTTCTGAAACAGAACTGATTCTTAACCAGGTTCTGACCTTTCATCCAACTGGTTCTTTACCAGAACTGGTTCTGATCCGGGTCCTGACCTTTCTTCCAGCTGATCCACTAAAACAAGAACTGGTTCTGATCCAGGTTCTGACCTTTCATCCAACTGGTTCTTTACCAGAACTGATTCTGATCTGCTATGGAGAGCTGTTTGATTCAAAATAAATAAATGTTGCTATTGATAAATTGTCAATGAGTATCCATATAAAATAAAACAACATAAATGTAAAAATTATTTTTAGCTTATTTTATTTTATCATATTTCAAGAGTTTCTATTTATTCAAAATGTATTAAATTTAAAAATTGCAAAATTT